CCTCGCATGTAACAAGGAGAACTATGCAAAATGCTAAGGATGGCTTTGTGTGGTTGGAAGAACATCTGGTTTACAGTGGCAGGTCGTACTGAACTCTGCTATGGATGCTGTTAGCTGTCTCTGCTCTATGCCTCAAGTGAAAGTTTTGTAACAGACGCACATTATAATTAATGCCTAAATTTCTAATTTTGGGTGCTCAAAATTAGGGCTCAGTGATGAAATCAGAAAGGGAATCCAAGATGTTTGAGGTAGCACCACACCATAAACGGATAAAACAATTAATAGCAAGATTAATGTGTGTGACTGAATTGGAAGGAAGATATAAAATTGGGTACAATATACATTCGAGGTAACATGGCTCGAAGTGCAAGAATGTTGCAGGGAAGAAGTATTTCCTATATTTCTTTGAAATACAGTCGGGTGCTTGGAAGCAGCGAGTGATTTGATGCCCCTACATTTGCACACCTGTAGAACAGCTTCTTCAAAGACTTGCCAGTGTAGTAAGGGGGTCACCTGCGTACCTGGAGCAGATGCGCGTTGCTGGGTTGACAGGATCACGTACTTCACAAAGGGCTTCCAGGGCTTGTTCCAACTTGCAGAGAAAAAATACATGTGACAAATGTATACCTTCTGATATGAATATTTCAGATGTTCTCTCGAAGCACTTACTTAGAAACAATTTCATTCCTCTTGTGGCACAGAATATTTAAAAAATGCTGTGAAAAAAAGGAAGTAAACTAGAAAACTTTTCATGGTCTTTAAGAATAAAAATGCGGTAGTGAGGAAGGGAGAAAAGTGATGGTGGTATGCAGCTGACATGAAGTGAGGCAAAGTACTCCCCCCTCCCTCCCACCTCACCAGTTTTGCAGCACTGGATCCACTGGGCAAAGTAATTTAGAAAAACGTTTTAGCGTGAGTATCATCTCTCTTTGGAGCCAGAGGATGATGAACGCCTTCTTGTAGGTCAGATATGGGCTGCCTGCAACAGACTGGGGGAGGGTGTGGGGGTGTGTGTGGAATCAGACCCTTGAATTTAACTTTTGTGCTGATTTTGGCTTGGATAAGAGTTAATTTTCTTGATAGTAGCTATATGGGGCTATGTTTTGGATTTGTGCTGGAAACAGTGTTGATAACACAGGGATGTTTTCGTTACTGCTGAGCAGTGCTGACACAGAGTCAAGGCCTTTTCTGCTCCTCACCCCACCCCACCAGCGAGTAGGCTGGGGGGGCACAAGAAGCTGGGAGGGGACACAGCCGGGACAGCTGACCCCAACTGACCAAAGGGATATTCCATACCATGTGACGTCATGCTCAGCATATAAAGCTGGGGGAAGAAGGAAAGGGGGGGACATTCGGAGTGATGGCGTTCGTCTTCCCAAGTAACGGTTACGCGTGATGGAGCCCTGCTTTCCTGGAGATGGCTGAACACCTGCCTGCCCATGGGAAGTAGTGAATGAATTCCTTGTTTTGCTTTGCTTGCGTGCGCAGCTTTTGCTTTACCTCTTAAACTGTCTTTATCTCAACCCACGAGTTTTCTCGCTTTTACCCTTCCGATTCTCTCCCCCATCCCACTGGGGGGGAGTGAGCAAGCGGCTGTGTGGTGCTCAGTTGCCGGCTGGGGTTAAACCACGACAACGTTCTTGTATTTTGAGATAATTAAAGTACAAATAAAATGGTTCTTTCTGTCTAGTGCCATACCCAAAAGCAGTCTGGGATCATGTCACAAGCACCAGGAGATAAGATCTGGTACTAGTGAGATGCCATACTGATACTTGATAGCATATACCCTGTTCCCTGATGCACAGGCATGCTTGCACTCCCTTTCACAGCAAATACGCTTCTACTTCTTAGCAATCTGTGCATCACTTGCACTGCAGCTAACTGGAATTGATTCAAAATAATAATCTTTATTAAACACAGATGCAATTAGTACTGAATATGCAAAATACTTAAAAGGTTGGGTTTCATGCCTATTGCTAAAATTAATGCTTAGATTACAGGCAAGTCCTTCCCACTTTCCATTTTAAAACAGAGATCAAACTTGGGCTTCCTGTGAAACTTTCCACTGACATTAAGGGCTGTAGAGGGAAAAATGTTAGTATGTCATAAAATGCAGGTAGCTTGTAACTTTTTTCTTAGAACAGTTTAGCATGATTTTACATGTAACTTATCCAATACATGCACTTTTTTCTCTTCGTGTTAAAGCATTTGGACTTTTTAAATTTCAAGATCTGCAGGGGTACTGGTTTGTGACAGGAATGGAAAAAAACTGATCTGAAGCCTCTTGGAAGACTTGAATTTGGAGGAAGGAGGGTAAAGAGGAAGTAAGTACTATGTACATATGCGTGAGGAAACAGCTCTTAAACACTCTTCAGTTTCTTGATGCCTGTAAGATTAGATTCCCATTTTTCTAGTTTCTCTTGCTTTTATTCCTTACAGTGCCTTTTAATTTGTAAAGTCAAACTTTACTTTAAGGCAAGATCAATCAATTAATGTCTTAGTATTGAAATAATCAGTCTACGACAATTTAAAATGTTAAGGCAAAAGCCTGTTGAGACAGTATGGTCATACTGAAATACTGTGGAGGAATCCTCTCCTTAACATACTTTTATTTTTAAAGCAGCTGAAAGACATACGTGCATACTATCAACGTCTTCTCAAGTGCATTTATTCTACTACTCCCACATAAAAAGTAGGGAGGGAGATCTTATTTTAAAACAATTACAAAGATCTAACTATTGAATTCAGGTTGCCAGAGAGATCATTTAAGAAGGAAAACAACTGTCTCTCAACAATAAGATAATGCCATGGGGGATGGATGATTATCCATGAGATAATTTTGTTCCTGAGTATTGTAAATCTCAGCTGCTTTCCCTTCCAAACCCAGCACCCTGGAGTTTGAGAGCTTATTATAGTTTATGCTCTATTGTGCATTCAAGCCAAAACACTAGAGTATAAGCTATCACTTAAAAACGCATCTTGTTTTCTCAGTTCTCGGTGCTGGTGGTTTGCATAATTTCTAAGACCAAACTGAGAGGGTCTTTAAAAAAAAAAAAAAAAAAAAAAGGCAGAACGTAACACACATATAATGAAGTTGTAGCACCCAAGTCAGACTCTTACTTCTGGGGATGACAACTCAAAATATTGAAGTAGCCTTCTTGATGCTGTAATTCACTCCTGGTTCTCCTTACTTAAGACCTTATTTAACATCAGGCCAGGGACAGACTATTCCTTTTAAAGGTAAGGGTTTCCTGTTCTTCAGAGCATTTTGCTGTAGGAATACAGAAATGCAGTCTCCTCTTTCTGTCACAACTGGAGCCCTGCCCAATGGCTGCGGACAAGCAATGCCTCTTTGCTCTTTAAACTCCAGCTGAACCAGGGATGTGAATCTGACAAGCTGAAGCAGCATTCTCATCCTGCTTCAACTGGGTCAGCCTTTTTGAGAAGGACAAAGTGAAAACAGTTTTTCAAAATCCAAACACTGGAGGGAAAAAAAAAAACCCAAACAAAAAAACAGTGGATTATCTAGTATCTGGTTATTTGCAAAATTTTATGTTTTCTTTTCCCTTTAGCACATGTGTTTAGCTGCTGACAAAGAGCTGGAAAAAACTAGACCCAGCAATAGGCAATAGGAAGACAATTCTGTTATCCATAGCTCCAACCATGACCTCTATAGCAATACATGAACCCAATCTCCTAGTTGAGTTCCCTTTAAGCAAGCTGGACCTGAGTGGTAAGTCTCTGCTGTCATTCTTTCCACAGGTACTTGCAAGAGTATTTCCACTGGTTAATGAGCTATGGGATAACAGTTTAGTTACTTTATCCACACCTGCCTTAGCAACAAGCAGAAAGTTGTTATCTTCTATGTGAACTTTAAAAATAGTTGTTTTTCTAAAAAAAAACCACAAAAAACCCCCAACCCCTCGCCCAAAAAAACCCTCCAAAAACCTAAGAGCGTAGAAATTCTCTGAGCAAAACTCATCCTCATGAAAACCTACCTGTCAAGTTTGTGTGTAAAGTATCCTTTATTAGAAGATTCTTGTAGGCAGTGCTTAATATATGATATGCAGGGAAGACAGACAATAACCTACCATGCTGCTTTCTCTTTCTCTTTTTTTTTTTTTAATAGGATTTAACAGCCTACAGCACAAGTTTCTTAGTGCTATGGAAGCATGGGCTACTGAGGATAAAAAATTTTATCGGTACAGGCAACACAGCTGTCAATTCCCAAATAACTTAATTATTCTCTGCTATTCTTTGAGTCTTGCTGTCCTTACAAATTTCTTTTTCAGTGACTTAATCTTTCCCATCCTGAACTACCAACATTGATTGAAACCCGAGACCACAGTACAAGCAGCTATTTTCTTTCCTATGGAACAGTAATAAGACTTTGATATAAATTGACTGGGAAAAAAATCAGAATGTTTTTAGTAAAAGATTGAAGAAATGGGAATTTTAGGTTCCTTTATCAACTGTTTTCCTTATTTACACGGAAGGTGGTTTCTGCACAGTTCTGGGAGAGATGGGTCTTTACAGAGGCCAGTGTATCCCTGCTTATCCGGAGCCTGGGTGACCAAGAGTGAATACTCGACGTTCATAGACAGAGGAGGATCTATCAAATTAGGGGATGCTTTTTGTGAAGACTTGTGTGAAACTTGCAGTTCAAGGCTATGATATTAGAAAGGAAAGAGAATGAATAAGGGTTTTTATTGACTTCTCTCTTCCATCCACTCAGCAAAGGAAATGTGTGTGTATGCGTGTACATAAATAGATACGTGTGTGTACTGAAAATAATACACAGCTGAGCTATGACAGTGACCTGTTTCACCGAAAATTATAGTTAAACACCCAATGAGTCTTAAGAGAGGGTTTTTAAGAGGATTACCATCTCAAAAAGATTACAGTAAGGTATCTGAATCAATTGTCTGGTTTGAGATCTACAAGTTGAACTTAAACAAAAGTGTACCGATATGTTTATTTCACTACCAGGCCAGCTGAAGTGGTCTGAAACTTTCAAGACTTGCCTGTTTTATTATTCATGTAGTTATCTTTATTGCACAATAAGATAGTTTGACAAATGAAAGTCCAAAAACTGGTATAACTGACACTACAGTACTGGTGCACTCTGCTGCATACAGTGATGCTAACATTATGGAATAAGTCCACTTTAAATGCTCCAAGGAGATAAGCTCTTTGTCCTCCAGAGGTACAAACATTTAATAATACACCAGCATTTGGGCAAGTTCCACTGCCACCTGCTTATGTAAAATGAGCTGTGTATGACAGAAACAGGTTCCCAGTATGTTATAACAATTAAATTATTTGCTTTTACTGTTTTGGAAACCAGCAGCATCCTCCCACTGAGGAATGTGGAGCACAGCCCACAAAGTATTTGTCCTGTCCTATCTCTAACATTGTTTAAGTTGGGGGAGGGAAGGAAGGAAAAGCTTAAGTTTCTCCAACTGTTCATACGCTCCTGCAAGACAACAAATGCAAAGCTACAACCATATGTTAAAATGATGTCTTTAAGTCTGTGCATATTGATTTCTAGAACACATAAGGCAACCAATTTAAAAACATTTTCTCCAAGAAATTTGATCTGGATAATGAACCCTATATGATCACAGAATTAAAGGAAGTGCAAAGAGCTACATGCAGGAGGTTCTTCAGAGAAGCGTCATGAGTCCCATGAGTTGTGGTTCATTTACTTCTGGTTTCTTGGTTGTGAAGCCATGTACAGTGCTACTAGGCAGTAGATAGTCCCGCCTATTGTTAGAGCCATAGTGGTCCGATAAAGCAGCTTATCTGGAACTCCTCGTTTCAGGTGTACTGGCAATCCATCTGCTTTCTGTGGGAAGAGTTTAAAAAGAAAACAAACAAAAAAAAGAAATGAACACCTGTTCCAAGGCCATAAGGAACAACCAACCTCAGGCACATTAAGAAACTTCCATGAGGGAAACCTCCTGACAAATAGGCTATCTACAATCACATGTATTACGTGCTTTTCATTTAGCAAGACAAATACAAAGGCAAGTTAATTTTATTAGCCAAAGCTGTTAAGTGCAGGCAGAAAGAATGTATCTTGAAATATTTCTAAAGAGGACCTGGGTGGGAAAAGAGTCACTAACAAAAGAATGTGAAAAGGTATGTATAAAAAATTATTCACCAAGTCAGACTGACACATTCCAAATGCAAGTGGCATGTAAGAGAGAAAAGGGAACATTATATAAAGCACATTCTTGATGTTTTAAAAAAAATGCTTAACTGATTTGCTTTATGAAAAGTCCTAGTACGCTTAGAAATTGCATAGCTAACAAACTGGCTTTGAAAGCTTTTTACTGTGCTCTTCTTATACTGCATCATAAACAGCTTCGGTAATATTCAAATTATTATACACAAAACAGTAATGAACTGCTTTGCTCCTCCAGATCCGCTTTAAGGCATACGCTTGGATTCCCAGACAGAAAGTGCTTCCAATAGTCAAATAATACAATAAGCATCTTCTGAACCCAGTAAAGAGACAGACAATGTTACCAGACTTTCCACTTGCTGCATTTATCTCCTATACAAGGCATATATACCTTGTCGTATAGTACAAGTATACAGGTTATACTATACCTGACGCTTTCTTAACTAGACTTTACAAAATTCTGGTATTGTAGAATGACAAAAGTAGTTAGCCACATTAAAATACGTCCCACTTTCCAGTTTTCTTTAAGTTACTCTCAAAGTAGTTGTTACCTGAAAAAGTTTCTGTAGGTCTGGCACCTTGTTTTTACCCAAGAAAGAATCAGTTGCTGGTAAATCTGAAGCAAGTTTAGTTGTTGTTCCAAAAATCAGAGCTGGGGATTCAGTGGAAACTATTGGTTTGAGTCCCTGCATAAATAAAGATTAAAATATCAAGGTATACAACACTTGCAAAAGTACCAGTTGTCAGGCTAGGCAGGCACGCTGCCAGTCATTACAAGGATACATTACAAAGAATATTTATGTGGTATGAAGACCTGTGACAATGAGCTAAAGACACATTGTTGGCCCGCTCATTTCTCAGCTACAACTTTGGGTCAGGGCTTAGCAAGGAGAATAGAAGCCCCTTTTCTGATTTCCTTATGACATAAATTTATAGCTATCCTAAGTTTTTCTGTGCTGGTATTTGGTCCAAATTGCTGCTTCTTTTTCACACATAGCCAAACTATCTAGGACTCTATCCAAGTAGTAGGATTAGCAGCAGGGAATCCCTGATGCTTAGGTCAAACAGAGTGAGGAGACTTCAATAAACTCTTCCTCCTGAATGCTTGCAAGCAGTAGCCATAAATAACTGGGCGCTAAATAATTTGGATGTATAGTTTGAGGATGAAAAAAACCAAGGGTTAGGACCACTTGTTTCATACAAAAGTAGTAAGTGGTGCTCAGGGACACTCCAGAAGCCCTCACATGGTGGATATGTTATGCAGGTGTAACTACACCTTATAATTCACATGCTGCTGCAACTTTTCACACCTCAATGTACTCCCCATGAGCAGCATAACTTAATTTCCTTTCGGTTCAGACAGTTGTACTCTACATTTCCCATAATTAAAAACTACATAATCCAGTTCTATGGATAAGATTAAGTGCACAAAGTCACAGCCATCATGAGGCGGCCTCCTTGCCTTTACTATGATAGATTTAAAAGTTATGCCTGGACACATGGCAGTGATGTTTTACATTATGGCTCCTGAAATAGCTATATTTTTTTTCTAACTTGCCACAGAAATTAAAAGCATTGTACAAGTAGGTTAATGCAACAGGTTTTCATTACAAACAGAAGCAGCAATTGCTCTCCATGGGTCAAGTTAAGGCTGCACTGAAATTCTAGTTTCTGTTCAAAGGACTAGTTGATGCATTTTGTATGGCATAAGAGAACTGCCTGAACAGTATTTGCAGCTGGAAGCAGACTGGCACTCTTTTTCTTTTATGTCTGCCGTAGACCAGACATGTTTTTTTTCATATGTAAATTCTCTAAGTTCTCTGCCACAACAGGCATCTTCAACAAAGACCAGATTTCTCAACATCCCAAAATAGCCTATGGTCATCAGGGCTCCACCCTGAAGACATGGGTCCAGCTTCCCACTTTTCTAGTGCCTGAATGAATATTAGAATCCTTTTGTGACCTTCTTGGTTATGTTTTGAAAGACAGCAGCCAAAACTGGATTCTCTGACACATTCAGTAACTAGTGCCTTCCTACTGAACAGGCTTGCGCAGAAGGTAAGTACTGAATTATTTAAGACTAAGCAGTTCTGGTCACACCAGTAAGAAGGAAGCATCTAAGAAACTATTATTAGCCAGGGGAAGTTACTGGCTATATATTCAAGGCTAAGTACCAGCTACATCAAAATACTTGAAGAAAGCAACTTTGGACCAGTATTTTTGTCTATAGGACCTTTAAGTACTTTATTAGATTTGTCTTTAAAAGGTTGGTGATTTGATAGAAAGAACTATAGAACAGATGTTTATATCAAATGTGCAGGTGACTTTTTCTCCAAAACTTGGAGATTGTTAGTATCACAGCAACGTGCATCTTTCAGCTTCCTTTAAGTTTCGGCTTCTGAATCTCACTTCTGCCTTCCTGAGGGCCCAGCTTTTTCAGGAGCACTCTTTGAGATCACTTCAACAGTTACTAGATCATTGCAATTCCTGCTTGTTGTGACCATGTCTGCTTTATTTCATGAGCTATGTGTAGACTATAAAAACTGTAAATACTGAGAATTGGAGTAAGCTGCAAACTACTTCAAACAGTTCCATGATAAAGATACTTCTTTCATCATGCCTAAACTCACAGATAGGGGGCTTAAAAATGTGATTAGCAACCCCTACCATTTGTTATTAGTGCTAAAACTCCTGCCTCTATGGGATACCACCTGGATGCAAGACACTCTATGGATTACTATTAGAATAGTGAAATCGGTCGCGTTAATAACTGTAAGTTATCGCATACTTTTTCAGGCTTTAGAAATACATTCCTGTTCAGATAGTTCTAAGATCCCCTTCTGTTGGAGCAACAGGAGATTCAAACCTGACTCAAGTGACTAACTTCATCATGAAATCAAATGAAACCATTTCAGGAAACTCATCTAATCATCAGTGTACTGTTGTAAATGACTTCCAAAGCAGCATGGCGCCAGTTAAGAACATCACAGAGCAATTTAAATAAAAATCATTTATATGGTTCATTGGCTTCAGGAAAGAGTAAAACAAAACACATGGTGCAGAAGACAGACAGTTCAGTTTGCCTAACACAGACACTGCATTAATCAGGGTCCCTCACCCCAACGTAAAATTCCACCTGAATTCCATCCATGAATTGTGAATCTTGTGGTCAGCTCCAACCAAGCTCAGCTAAATTAGTGTAATCACGTGGCTGTTCCAACTGGGTACTCGTCTGTGTTTATTGAGAGAAAGTGGCAAGTGCTTTACCTCACACCCAGCTGCTTGCTAAGCTTAGCGTGGCTGAAGAGAAATCCTCAGTATTACACATAAGAATTTCAGTACAGATCATTTTTTAAGCAAGTCATTAAAGCACCTTAAATGGACCTTAATTGTCACTTGTATTTAACATGACTAAAACTGCAGGTTTATTTAATAACCTCAGTGTCTCACTACACTCAAGATAGCACTGAGGAATGAATGCCTCCATGCATTTGACCTATGCTTCATAAGATGTTTCACATTGGTAATTCCTCTTCTGATATTAAGGTGTTGATCTTTCATTTCTAAACATGTTAACAGGAATTTGTTCCAATTCTTGGATGAAGTACAGCAGATGTACTCATGCAGAAGAGCCAACATCAGCTGATTTCATCAGCACGCTACAGCAATGGCTTTGTCAAATGCTGAATTCCTCAATGAAAGGTCAGGACATGTAGCTAATCCAAAAAAGCAAACAAAATTCTCTGCCTAGCCCTCTGTAAAGTGTGTTTGTTCTCTTGTTGGAGGTCTGAAAGTCTTAGGACCCAATCTGTCTGTTGGCTGGCCAACATGCTCAAAGTTAAAACAAATTTATGCCTATTGCTAGCATGAATTCCCAAGCTAGATTTACATTCTAATGACAGCACAAAACAGTTGAGGATTTGGAGCACAATTTAATGGAGATAGCACCACACTTAAGATTTTAAATGTTAGGGGAATTGCTCAAACAGATCAGAGAATGAGAAAGTAGAGAAAACTGAGGTAAGGACCAAAATGAAAAGGGGAAACAAGAAAGAAAGTTAAGCTGAGAATTATTATTTCAAAACATGCATTGAAGTAACTTTTATGAACTTGCTGAACCTAAACACTTCTAACCTAAATAGCAGGTCCTTCATAGTAGAACATACCTCACTGTATGAGGTTAAATATATTTGTTACCACTAACACAAGCATGCTTTTAGGTAGGATCACTTGAGGCTTTGTTTGTACTGGAATGACACACTTAAGTAAAAGTGATTTTGTGTACATTTTAAGTATCATCTACAGCATAAAAGGTTAACCATTATAGTTTCTCAATGAACTCCAAGCAATTTGTAACTGCTAAAATCAAAAGATCTGTGGTTTGTGGGGGGTTTAAATAGATACAAGCAAAATAAGTTGTATAAAGTGAAGATATGGTAGTATGACTCAATTTCTACTAGGATCATGGTCAGTGTTGAAGAACTAGGAAGAAGTTCATATAGTTGTCTTCATCTGATGGCATTTGAAGCTGGTCCCGCTATTTGTACTTTAAACATAAGCCAACTCTTTGAATTAACAGTTTTTATTGTATTTCTAATGGTTATGGCAGTCATTATCCTCCCAAATATGGGTAGTAGTTTTTAATCTATTTGATTCCTCACCTGCACTAGCTGAGAAAGTTCCCGTTTATTCAAACAGGCTAAATTGTTCATGCTACTTTACATAACTTTGTTAAATGCAAAATTAAGTCTTCTAAGAATGCTAAGACTGGAATGGAAAGAACCATACACGTTTCAAACTAAGAGGTTTTTTGTTAGTATAAGCTATTAGTTATGTTACTGTCAGCAAAAGAATTTCTGAAATATATTTTGACTGATATTTTGCAAGCCCACAATAAGCTTAAACCTGCATCAGAACAATACTCCATTGGGAAGCATCAGAATGTAACAGTACAGAATAGAGTGAATCATTACACTGCATATTTGACCAAGCAGAACTTGAATTGCAGGATGTCTTAATTTTTCCAGAAACATTAAGATAAATAGAAGCACAAAAAGCAAACCAGTTTACATGCTGAGCTATGGTTTTATTAAATACAGCAATGAAATCAATAGGAAAAAATTTACTTCATTTTGGATTTAACATGTACTTACTCATGTGATTCCTTTCATATTTTAATCTATTTATTGCAAACAATTTTATCAGACTGATGCATCTAAATGTGTCACCTGGGAGTAGAGTCAAACTAAAAAAAAAAAAATTCTACCAAAAAGTTGGCCTAAGAACATTGTAAGAAGGGATTGAAGGTAACTTAAAAATGTAGCTATTCTATTGCATAGCATGTTTGCATGCCACAGTTGAGGACTAAGCCGTGTGAATGGTGAGTCAGATACGAAAGATAGTGTTTCTTTCATCAATATGAAAAAAAACCCACATTTATAAAGTGAGACAATATTCGTAAGACATGTGAAATGCTCCTGCTTGGATACAAACTCATCTTCTCAACTATATTCTCTCAAAAATTAGGTTTTAACACTTCATGATGACACTGAAATGAAATACAATGCCCGATGATGACCTAAAAGGAAATCATTACAATGTTCTAGAGGAAAAGTATTTCTATTCCTTGGACATTCTCTTTCCTGCCTTGCAGAGCACAGAAGTGAGATCTATCCAGACTTTTTCTATCTGC